ATTCTTTGTTATTATATTGACAGTGAACTCCTCTATTTATTGAGACTCACTATCAATTTAATGATTATGATCTACCGTATTTTCAAATAAGATCATTAAATTAANTTATTATATTGACAGTGAACTCCTCTATTTATTGAGACTCACTATCAATTTAATGATTATGATCTACCGTATTTTCAAATAAGATCATTAAATTAAGTATAAATACCGTTTTTCATAAAATAAAAGCCTAAGTTCTCTTATCACAATTGGTATTGATGAAAATACCTATGACAACCAATATTGATAGAAATCAATGACTAGTTAGTAGTCGTGGTTGAGAGTATTATGTAAAATTATTGTAATCTGTCTATGGATTGGTAGTTGGCGTCGTCATTGTAATTTCTGTGAAGCTATAATGGTTTTGGCTATGCTAATTAATACCTATGGAAGTTAATGTCCCACAATTATTTGGCCTCATTACCATCATGGTTAATCAAGAAATACGCCATCCCAACTCCAAGAGCTCTAGAACTTGTTTAAAAAAAAAAGAGTACATTTTGCCACGTAAGCATGCTTGGTGGGGCCGGTGGGCCAAGATGACACTTGTCTCACGTGTGTGACTTTTGCTTCACTTCTTTGTTTCTTGTAGTGTATAACCAAAACCAATAAAAGTATTTAAAATAATATATTTTATTTGGTCAATAAAATAATGTTTAATACATAGGAAAAGTGAAGGTTTGGATTAACTAATCTGCACGCACAAGCACCTTCGCTGTGTAGTAAGATTTTTTGTACACGTGTCCACACAGGACAGCACAGACATTTTAGGTGGGCCCAATTCCAAGAACGGGAAACGGTGTGGCCCCACTTTCCACAACAGGCCTGAACAAGAAAAATTGTATGCCTAATGATAAAAGGCAAGCCCACGCCGAACCACGAGCCGCCACGTATGAAGGCACCAAGCGCACATCATTTTTCATTAAAATGAGGGGCCCACAGGCAACCACAGCCTCAGAGTTTGTGCCACTTGGGCTTCGGCTCAGGGTATTTGGCGGCTTAGCCAAGCTTTTGAATAGCTTTTTTCCTTTTTCTTTTTCTTTTTTTATATATTAATTTTAAAAAGTATGTATTTGGAGAGAGGTCTCTGTCGTATTCCATTGCGTCGGTTTGTGGGGTCTACAGATGGTGAAAGAAAGGCTTGGGAAGAGAGATAAAGTATATAAAATTGTAGACCCAACCAATCGGGAGGCCGCGTGAAGATACCAAAGATATTTTCTTCATACCACGCGCATACATCAGATGTAAAGCATGCGAACCTTATTGGACAAAAAGAATCACTCTGTAATGTTGATGTTGTAGACACTATGTCACAGTGCGTAATATTAATTGAATTTAATTTGATAATATAATTTATTAAATTAATAAATTATAATTATTAAATTGATAATGAATTTCAAAGATATATAGAAATTCATTGTCAATCTAATGATTATAAATAATTAAATTTAAATAACATTACTTTTTAGAACAATAATGTAGTAACATATTTGAATGCAAGAATTTGAAACACCTTCTATGAACCCTTGCCTTTAATCACGTTGCAACGTGAATGATTTTAAGAAGGAAATTGGTGTCAATTGAATGAGTTTATTTAAGACAGTCGAATTGACTTATTGAAGTCAATCATATTTTATATTATAGATAAATTTAAGTAAAATTTTACTAGTTATATAGATTATAATTATATATTATCAGTCTCGTTTGGAAAGGAGCAACGTACTACCTTAATCTTTAGAGCACAATGTAGAACAATTAACAACAAAATAAATCAGACTCAAAATTCCGTGAAATTAGTGGTGTTTAATATGGATTAAAGCCAATGATCATGACTAATGACTTTTGTCATGAACATTTTCAATTTTAATATTTTGTTCATTCTTATATATATTGTCTTATGTAACACGAGTTATGTCGTCAAGAATACATCTTTTTAGAATTATCTCTTATTCTTCTACTTGGATTCAAAGTATTCTTATTCTTTATATTTAGAAACGATGATCTTTTCGTGTCATCTCGTTCCCGCTATGCCAGAGCCGTGATTTGGCTCTCTTTAATTTTGATCAAGTTCACACATAATGTTACCGAGTCAATGTGACAAGTCTCACCAGTACAAAGCCCTAAAACCACCAAGCATATAAATATTAGTCGATTGTAACTTTAAAAAGAATGCAATTCATCGTTCAAACTAAAGAATGTTGGTAATAAATATATTTAAATTAGGAAATTTATTACACGAATGGATCCCCAATGAACTTTCAACAAGTCGAATTTAACTTCGGCATGAATAGTTAATTCAGTTTTGTACAATCCAAGATTCTTAATTTATATCTAAATGGTCAAATTGCAAATGTTTGTAAAAAAATCGTCAACAGTTTTGATCACGTGTCAATCATGTGAGACTAAATAGACACAAATTAAAAGATCCGTGTGATTGGCACTTGACCAAAACCGTTAATAATTTTTTGATGGATGTTTGAGATTAAACTACATAAATATAAATTAAGAATCTTATGGATCAAATAGACACAATTAAAAAATTGAGGATCAAATAGATACGAAACGTATACTTGTAGGATTAAAAGTTTATTTTACCCTAACTTTGTTGGAAAGCAGGAGTAACTTTCAGCTGGGGGGACATTTGATTAGGTCACCACAAAAATATAATCTTATGATTAATTACTATAGTTATTACTTTGTGAACAAACTGTTACTTTAATAACTGCAATATTTCTTTTTGGTCTGGTGTGGCTTTAAGAAACCCAAGTGATCCATGCCCTCAGTTTTCTGACGTTCACCATTTAGCTCTCTCTCTATCTCTCTCTGTGGCAACTTGAGAAGAGAAAGGGCATTAGGTTCACTTTTCTGGTCTCTATCAGTTGCTGGTAGGAGGTGGTAAAGTACTGCACCGCCACCATTTTCTCCGCCTTCCTTTCTTCGTGAAAAAGCTTTTCCAACAATCAAGCTTGCTCTCAGAAGATCCGTTGATAAATATCTACACATAGAGAGAGAGAACTTTTGTAGTCCAATAATGAGAGGGATGGCATGAGCTAGCTAATAAAGTTACCTGTGTAAGCTCGTTCGATCTTCTTTGCTTCATATTTAACCCTCTCCTTCCCTTTCTTCCACATTCAAACCATTCCACCTTTTTTTTTTCCCTTGGGATCTGATCTCTCTTGACAACCACAAGACAGTTTTTTTCAGGGTACGAACAGTTTTTGGCTTCAGTTCAATTCCCGAGGAGAACTTTGTCCCGACAGTCTCTGTTTCTTTGTTTTTTTGTCTGCTTTAGAGGGATTCTAAAGTTGCAAGAGAGTGGCAAGAGAGATCACTTTCAAAAGAATCTCTCCTCTCTCTCTCTCTTCTCTGTTTGGTGGCACAAGTTTGGGCTCAACCGGATCGGTGGAGGAATTTTCAGTTGGATAGGGGACAGTACTATAGAGGATTATAAACTATCAAGGTGGCATTGCTATACTGATAAATTTTCATATACTTGTTTCGAGTTGGCTTTATTTTTTTCATTTGGCTTTTATTCTTAATATGTGTTTCTTCAATGATCATTTTTCTGGATACAGCGTTGCATTTTAGTGATGATTTTGCTGTAATCTGTTAAAAGATATGCCCGATGACTTCGATCTATTCCAGATTTGCCATGACTAAATATGATCCGATTGTTTCAGTCTATTTTTTGTTATTCTACACACACACACACACCCATTACAGCTACTATGTATTAAAATTTCCAGTAAGGCCTTCTCACTTTTCTTCTTGTAGATTCAATATTCTATATATTCTACACACACACACATGGCATTCTAATGGATTCTTTTGTGGTTTTTTTCTCCACAAAAGAAATTCTTATTCTCACCAAGTTGATCATTTTGATTTCCTTCAAAACAGTTATTATGTGCATAAACTGTCCCTAAACATGCTCCTCTTCACCTTTTAATGCTTTTTCATGATTCCATTTGTATTTGAAATTTGAAAGCACCACAAGGAGAGATTAATTACACTTTTTTAGGGAAATAGTCAACTTATATGTTTGACTGCATGGCCAGAAATAACACCTGAATCGTCAGTTTCATCGCCTCCCCCACCCCCCAAAAAAAAAATCTAAACTTAGATCATTTATGCTGTAATTACATGATGAAAAAAAAAAAAAAACCAAATCAAAATGCTTCAGATAGAACTACGCTGACATAATCTCTTAAAAAGCAGACAGCTTTATTTGGAGTGGCTGGTTATACAATGACTCTCTATTCTGGAAGTGAACCTTATATAAGGATTGATTATAGAAATTTCTTAATAGCTACAGAAAATGTTTACTTCCATTAAAAAAAACCTGTTATCATGTTATAAAATTTCATTTCTTTATTTGAAATAATTATCATGCTGTTTTGCCTGATTAATGAGTAAATATTGGGTGTAATAATGACACCATATCACCATTGTCACGTGGTGTCAACATTCAATAACAAATCTACAAGTAAGCAAAGTAAACTCAGGGCAGGAGAATGAAAGCTTTGTAATTTATGTCCCCAAGCATTTAGAAGAATAAGTATTTAGACCTATACATTGAATTAGCACACCATTGTTTAGTTTTTTTTTTTTTTTTTCGTTTTTTTTTATCTGTTTAGGATGTACATTGCATGAATTCACACTCAAAACTGGATTTCTACCATCTTCATTATAGATTTCTTTTGGTAAATCATTCTATGTAACAAAAACTATCATTTTCAGCCAACACTTTGCATGCGCACCATCACTGTCTTGAAAAATTTTATCTTAAAATGTTAGCATCTTAGGAAAACATTTAATATCCAGGATTGAAAATTTTCTGATGAGCGACAGTGTGTAAACAACATAAATTTCCATTCATCTAGTTATATATGAAAAACATTAATATGACATCATTTGCATTTTGAAATGCAGGTGATCAACCAGACTTGTGAGAGAACATGAATACTTTTTCACACGTTCCTCCAGGTTTTAGATTCCACCCTACAGATGAAGAACTTGTTGATTACTACCTCAGAAAAAAAATAGCTTCAAAAGCAATTGACCTAGATGTCATCAAAGATGTTGATCTCTACAACATTGAGCCCTGGGACATTGAAGGTACTGTTTTTCCAAATCCTTTATCCACACTGTTGTTTAAAAATGTTTTATCAATTCCTAAATGCAAAAAAAAAAAAAAGTCATTTCATTTTACATTAATTTGGGCAGAACTTTGCAAGTTGGGAACTGAGGACCAGAATGACTGGTATTTCTTCAGCCACAAAGATAAAAAGTATCCAACTGGAACGCGCACTAATAGAGCTACAAAAGCAGGATTCTGGAAAGCTACTGGAAGAGACAAGTCTATTTACACTAAGCATAGTTTGATTGGCATGAGAAAGACCTTGGTGTTTTATAAAGGTCGAGCCCCAAATGGACAAAAGTCAGATTGGATAATGCATGAGTACAGATTAGAATCAAATGAAAATGGGACACCTCAGGTAAGTATCTGAAACATAATATACATCTAGCATTTTTGCATAGTTAAAACATCCATCAATTCAAGTTAATTTGGTTACAGTAAACCATGGTTATTACATTCTTAAGTGTATCATGAAACTCTTGAATTGCTCATACTGATAAAACACTAAAGTATGAAACTTGATGTGAACTTCTTTATAGCCCATCTGCAACCCACAAAGGGAAAATACATTGGGGTTGGGGGTTAAGAACAAAGAAATTTGAGATAGTGCTGTACATATCCCAGATCATATTCCATCGATCTCTTTCATACAATTTATATCAGCTTTTTCATCCAAAACACTCCCTCCATAACACCCGCTTCCCATAGAAAATTTCTTTGATATGATCATCCAGGGAAAATTCCCAGGGGTTAAACTAGTGTTAAGGTGGCCAAAAGTTTAGTTACTGTATGATAGGCAGCGTTTGAAGTATTTTTAAGTATCATTTTAGAACACATCTCAAATACTTTTTTTGCTGGTTTTAAGTTAGCATTTCTATTGCATTTTCNTCCCAGGAATTTGTAGGTTAAACTAGTGTTAAGGTGGCCAAAAGTTTAGTTACTGTATGATAGGCAGCGTTTGAAGTATTTTTAAGTATCATTTTAGAACACATCTCAAATACTTTTTTTGCTGGTTTTAAGTTAGCATTTCTATTGCATTTTCCTTTTTGCTTTATCCTTGGTAGGAATTTCTCCCTTCATCTAGAGATAATCACATGTACAACAGTGCACATATGAATATTTATGACAATATTATCTATGTATTGAGATTTTGTTTTAATAAGTTTCTTCAAAACGTGACCGAGTAGTATATTAGGTTGTATTAGGTAATGAAAATTAGAGAACTAAACTCTCATAAGAAAGGACCAAGGAAAAAAAACTATATTATGATAATTGTAGGACAAGAAACAATACTGTTGGTGAATTCTGTAAGTCTCATGTGAAAGAAAAATTTCAATATATTTCAGCGAGTAATGCTATTGGGATCTAAAATTTCAACTTAATTCTGCTAATGTAATGATGTATCAAGTAATAGTTACTCATTTTCAGCTGTTTATATATCTTAAACAAAGTCACTTCTCCTTTGATAGAGTGACTGTGCCTGAGATAATCTAGCTGTGATTGCATCAGGAAGAAGGATGGGTTGTGTGTAGGGTGTTCAAGAAGCGAATGGCAACAATAAGGAGGGAAGGAGATCATGAATCACTATGTTGGTATGATGACCAAGTTTCCTTTATGCCGGACTTCGATTCCCCGAGGAGGATTCCTCAACCTTACCCTCCATACAATAATCATCAATATTCCTGCAAGCAAGAGCTTCAGTTGCAGTACACCATGCCTCATGATTCCTTCCTCCAGCTTCCTCATTTAGAGAGTCCGAACGTTCCACAGTCCGAGGCCAGTGTCTGCAATTCAGTGCCTGCATATAATTTTGAGAGGAACAATGGAAACACTTTTCAGTCTTCAACAATACTAAAACAAGAACAGATGCCGCAAATCAATCAACTAGATATTAACTTGCTTTATGGTGATAAGAGTGAACAGGCAGTGGATCAAGTGACCGATTGGCGAGTTCTTGACAAATTTGTTGCATCTCAACTCAGTCAAGAAGATGGTAACAAGGAGTGTAACTACTCAAATGCACCTTCCTCATTTCAAGTACCCGAGAACATAAGCATGCTCATCGATGATTCGAATAGACAAGAAATGGCTTCAGAATATGCTTCAATATCCAGCTCCAGTTGCCAAATTGATCTGTGGAAGTGAGAGCATATACAGTAAGCAGACTATACATGTAATGGTAGGAAATGATTACTAAACACAAGTATTGGTCCGATTACTGTACATAATAAACCTAAAGGGTAATGCCTTAGCTGCTGGATTTCTGCTACAACTTGTGCTGATATATATACCAGGCAACAAGTTATACCAGAGAGACCTATATTGATAATAAGTATGTATAAGTGAATTGTAATGCTGGTGGAAACTGACTTGGAGAGTATTGTTTGCATATTTCTTTGTTGCAGCTTAATACACATTTGAAGGTGTTTATTGTTTCAACTATATATATAGATAGATAATATATTTGTGCTTCAAGTGACAACTTGATAATGGGCTCTTCGTTCTATTTTTCATGTCTTTTCTAAAGTATAGCATGTTTTCTCCTGCCACGGAGGTCTAATCTTTTCCTCTCTTCTGTCTTAAATCTTAATCAAAAAATGAGTCTAATGACATGCAGGAGAAGAAACTTGAAATGTTCTATGGATTTTTTTTTTCTTCCTGATTTGTTAAGGATAAGATGAGTGCTAAGCACTGTATGAAACTGCATTTTGTTATAATTAAAAGGGAATCAACAAGGCTTCCACATCTACCACTTTTAGTGATCAGTTGAAAGTTGAAACTGTTAACAGTCCAAGCTAAACCATAGCCCACCGCTTGAAGCGTTTCAGAGATAATCGCGTATTTTTGAATTGAATGGAGATGCACATTAAGAGCAAAAGATTGATATAAAGGAGAGGTGAACTCCTAGGATCAGAAGAAAAAGACATGGTTGCTCGCAATTCGGCTAAAGTTGTGTCATTTTGCATCTGAACATTGCAAACAGTGAACACTAATTGAAAATTGTCTTTTTTCTTATACCATTTTTGATTTTGATATTTCTTTCCTTCATGGTCCAAAATCCATTCTCTAAATCACTCCTTACTCCTTTGTTTCATTGAACATATATTGGTGCATGAAACCAAGGTGCTATTGCTTTAGTCCAGCAATATTATTACCAAAAAATAAAAAATGTTGCATGAAAATACCACCTTTTCCCCTCAAATAAGTGTGTTCCCAGACAATATCTAACTAAGCAAATCTAACACAGTAACCAAAGCAACAGGTCTGAGCTATCTCAGCACTTCTACCTGGATGTTTGCACTTCATAATGTTAGCAAAAATGGTTTAGATGGAACAATATATATTAACGACTTTTTCATTCTGATGTGTCTTGCCTAATGATTTTTCTTAAAAAAATATATCTTAAAAAGATATAATATATTGTAGCCAAAAGTGATTCGTTTGTGTTAAGAGTAAGATATATTTTATTTAAACTCAAAAACAGTTTAGAAAGAGGTGGGTAAGTGCTATCTTAGAGAGAAAGATATATAACTAGGGATAAACAACTCCCTTGTTGCAGTGGAGTCATTAATAAAGAAACAACATAAAAGGGGAGTACAAATTAACTAGCTGCAATTGTCACTGAGGCCTCTGAAAATTTAAAACATACACACAGTGTCAATTAGTCTCCCCATAGTTTCAAAAGTTTTCGTTAGAAAATTTGAAAAAAATATTAATAAATTAAGCTAGATATATACTTCTGTATGAACATGCACCTACCTACAGCAGATCATCACCAATTATCTAGCTTGCATTTCTCTTATTTCGGAAGCATTTGCAGGAAAGCCTCAGGCCCAGAGTTGAGAGGTGCAAAGAACCAAAGGACTCCAATGGCTGTTTTAACACTAGAGTTTCAATATCGATAGGAGAGAAGGAGGTCAATACAAATAAAGAGCAGATGCTTTCACTCTTGCAGTATATCAGCAATACTACTNAAAGCCTCAGGCCCAGAGTTGAGAGGTGCAAAGAACCAAAGGACTCCAATGGCTGTTTTAACACTAGAGTTTCAATATCGATCGGAGAGAAGGAGGTCAATACAAATAAAGAGCAGATGCTTTCACTCTTGCAGTATATCAGCAATACTACTGTGCATTGCAAAATGTGAAGTACAATTCAATTTCACCAGGGTTTTATACCCACACAATCAAAAAAAAAAAGAAAAAAAAAATGAGAAGTTTAATACATTATTAGGGAGTAGAATTGAAGAAGAATAATGTTCTGTCTTAGGTTGTTTTTGACCGGAAGCATGCTTTTATTTGGGATGAAGTCAAGCATTAAAGTCCCTTTCAAGCAATGCCAATACTATACGAGACACAATAATTGGGCGTGCTCTCATGTACTCATAATTCACTCAAGCTTCTCTCTCTCTTCTATTGGGTGGTGGGTTGACCCGGTTTGGGTTTTTTTTTTAAACAGTTGGAGTGTTCGGGTCAGTTTATGTGCACTTCAACTAATCTTTTTTCTAGTCTAATCAAAGAAAGACCATCCACGCCAAACTAGAGTATTCATAAGAAATAAATTTCTCATGACTTAGCCCAAATATAATTGTTAATGTTCAACTCAGAACATCTAAATTTACAACTCGTCATCGTTACCACTTGAATTACCCGATGGGATTAAGTTTTGGTTTTTTATTTTGGGGTATTGAAAAACATGANCTTCAACTAATCTTTTCTCTAGTCCAATCAAAGGAAGACCATGTCAAGCTAGAGTATTCATAAGAGATAAATTTCTCATGACTTAGCCTAAAAATAATTGTCAATGTTCAACTCAGAACATCTAAATTTACAACTCGTCATCGTTACCACTTAAATTACCCGATGGGATTAAGTTTTGGTTTTTTATTTTGGGGTATTGAAAAACATGAAATTTTGAAAAGTGAATGCTTATTTCTGTCTAAATTTAATGTGAGGGCTTGCTAATTTGCATTAGGATTTGTTTTGTTTGCATTTTTCCTTGGCTTCTGATCTGAATTTGATTAGTTCGAAAGAAATTGATTATTTGGTTAATTACCAAAATTCAAATCTACTATGTCATCTCATGAATTCAAATTTGGATAAAGCAATTTTTCGACACGNCTTTAGGAGTTGTTTTGTTTGCATTTTTCCTTGGCTTCAGGCTGATCTGAATTTGATTAGTTCGAAAGAAATTGATTATTTGGTTAATTACCAAAATTTAAATCTACTATGTCATCTCATGAATTCAAATTTGGATAAAGCAATTTTTCGACACGATTGTCCGATCCACTATCATCCTTAATGAAATCAATTGATTATCCGATGAAATAGTGTTTTAGCTACAATGTCTAATTAAGTTATTTAGATTAAAATGATTATTTGAATCAAATATTTTAATGTTTAAAGGATTCTTATGTGAACCTTGAAAACGAAACCAATTTGTACATTCAGACCGAATCAAAATCCATATTNTTATCCGATGAAATAGTGTTTTAGCTACAATGTCTAATTAAGTTATTTAGATTGAAATGATTATTTGAATCAAATATTTTAATGTTTAAAGGATTCTTATGTGAACCTTGAAAACGAAACCAATTTGTACATTCAGACCGAATCAAAATCCATATTCTCAGACCCATTTGATAACAAACCATTCTCAATGCCATTGCAAAATCGAAAGCAATGAGGCCAAGCGCATTAATGCAGTGTGAGGATGAATGGGTGACTGTGTTTGCATGCTAAGTAAGATCACATCATTGACCATCTTACAACCTTAACAGCTCCATGTGACAGTGCATCATTTGCGTGCTTCTTTACCCCCCCAATATCCCACACCTCCACAGTCTCCGGAGTCCTGGATTCTCTGCAATTAAGAGTTCGAATAAAATAGTTTATATTCGTGGGTGTTTGTTTGTATTTGTCTCTGAGGATCTAAGAAGTACAGATATAGATACAAATATAGGTGTTATATCCGATATGATACAAATATAAATATCAAAGATACAAGAAAGTTTCAAAATATAAGATACGAGTACAGTAAAAATACTGTTAATTAAAATAATATAATATATTTTTTAGATAATAATAGAATTATAATATATTAACAGCAAATCATAATTGATAACAATATTAATAATAAAACTTAGCAAATATTCATTTTTTTGATTAAAATAAAAATAAATTAAAATAGACATCCACTATTTTCAACAAATATCACATCTATTAATGTTTATAGTATATAAGTTATATAACAAAAAAATACAAAACAAACCACACAATTTTAATAGTTAAAATTCATTTTTTAATAAAAAAAGAAGCATTGGCCGTATCCTAATCATGTCTTGGCCGTATCCTCTTTGTATGCTAACCGTGTCGTGGCCATGTCCAACCAAGTTTACTATTCAAGACATTTTGAACCGTGTCAAACATATGTCCAACTGTGTCATGACCGTGTCTGTGTTAGACACATGTCTGACATTACCATGACAGCCTTCGGAAAGTATCCACGCTTCCTAGGTGAAGATTATGTGTTTAATATATGCCTATGTATGTTTATTCATTTTTCATTTGTCACCAACACATTGAGTTCAAAGAAAAGTAGAATGTGCGTCTCAAATTAATCAAATATAATCTCAAATTAGTTCTCACTNACTAGCCTAATATACTAAGACAATGTGGGTCTGATGAAATTAACCTTAACATCTAATTATCAGTCGACTTTTGCATATTCTGATGGAATTAAATTCCAAAAAGTGTACAATTGAGAACAATGAACAACTACCNAATAGCCTAATATACTAAGACAATGTGGGTTTGATGGAATTAACCTTAACATCTAATTATCAGTCGAGTTTTGCATATTCTGATGGAATTAAATTCCAAAAAGTGTACAATTGAGAACAATGAACAACTACCACAGAGGGAGGGTGAGGAAAATTTCCAGGTGGGCAATGAAACAAAAGCCATACATAGTGTCAAAGAAGTAAGTAACATGAGACAGTGCTGAGATTGAATTTCTCATAAGTAACAGCTTTCATGGGGATACCTGTTTCTGGGGAAGGTCCAAAACTGCATCACTAAAGTCAGCACCTTCAATAATAGCACCACCAAGATCACTGCGGGTGAGGACTGATCTAACAAGGACGGCATTCGTAAGATTAGCTTCATTAAGGACCTACAAGCCACAGGAAAGAGAGAAGATATGATAATCTTGCATTAATCTAGTGTACTAAGGTCACCACATTTCAAATAATTAGAATTGCATTAATCTAGTGTACTATCATCTCAAAAACAAACTGAAAAACAAGTGGCTATGGATCTCCAACAAGGTTTGATTTGGCTTACCATGCGATCCATCAACGTGTCGCTCAAATCCGCCCCTGTTGAGTGACAACAGGATCAAGAAAATTAACAGACTTGCAACCACAAGGAAAATTAAAACTACAATGAAAAACTTAAGGTAAGAGAGTTCTGTACAGACAAGTACATGTAGTAGATTTTCAATGGTTGGATATTTTAGATGCAACTATGAGCTCTTACATATTTGGTTACAGGACAGGACACTGGAAAAAGAAAACCAGGAAAGACAGAAATTTCAAAAATTTGAAAGACTATATGTTGTCTTAGAGAAAGGTTCCTTTACAAATTCTCTAGAGACAGATTAATGGGCACGAGATTGTTTTCTTGTTTTGGGTTAAGGAAAGGTTCATATCATAGGAGTGATGGTATTTACGTTCAATTTGCTGACCTAGTATATCATTGTTGTCACACAAATAGAGAGTCCTAATATTAGGACGACATGCTAATAATAACTAAAGACCAAGTCTAAAGGGGATCATATAATTAATTTTACTCTAAGATTGGGAAGAAAAGCGCATCCAAATAATGTAAGAGATACAATAACTTATAACTATCATTACCTTGATGATATAACATAGTAAAAAGTTCCTCTATGATGAAAAAAAGAGAAAAGAAAGATAAAGACTAACAAACAAAAAAAGGATAAAATTGGGCAGCCGTACATGCATATTTTGTAAGTTGTATACAACTCTATAATCAAATTGGCCCTTACCTTTCATCAAATACAGAGAAAAATATGATCTATCAAACCTGTATTAGTGAATGATCAAATTCATCAACACAACAGCTGGGCATGAGATGTTCTCATNAGCTCAATAATCAAATTGGCCCTTACCTTTCATCAAATGCAGAGAAAAATATGATCTATCAAACCCGTATTAGTGAATGATCAAATTCATCAACACAACAGCTGGGCATGAGATGTTCTCATTCATGGATCCGTATAGCGGCAATAACCAAATCAAGATGAACCATGCAGATGTGGAAAAATATTGTCTTTAGAACCCTGATACGTAATTTATATTACACAGTAATGTCTCGAAATTTCTCACTTTCTTGGGACTCTTGTTACTTGTCTTCTAGTGTATCTTCCAAGTCNGGACCCTGATACGTAACTTATATTACACAGTAATGTCTCGAAATTTCTCACTTTCTTGGGACTCTTGTTACTTGTCTTCTAGTGTATCTTCCAAGTCATAATGGGTCAAACTGACTCACCTTCTATCTAAAGTGTGATAAAAAATCATAGTTGGACTCCAAATTTTGTCTTTAATTTTAATTTAATCTTTGATATTTTAATGTTATCAATTTATTCTCTNGAACCCTGATACGTAATTTATATTACACAGTAATGTCTCGAAAATTCTCACTTTCTCGGGACTCTTGTTACTTGTCTTTTTCTTCCAAGTCATAATGGGTCAAACTGACTCACCTTCTATCTAAAGTGATAAAAAATCATAGTTGGACTCCAAACTTTGTCTTTAATTTTAATTTAATCTTTGATATTTTAATGTTATCAATTTATTCTCTTAATTATTAATTTTATCTCATTTAAGTCTTCTTATTTATTTTTATCATTAGATCAATGATGAAATGGATTAGATTGGACTAATCGCCAATTGATTTAATAATAAAAATTGATAGAATGACTTAATTGAGACTAAATCAGGACAATTGAAAGTTTAAGTACCAAATTAAAACCGAAGGAAAAATTCAGGGACCAATTATGACTTTTTGCCAAATTACCTTGGCCTTTTCCCTATTTTTTGTCTCCTCCCCCCATCACGCAGATTGGAGTTCACAAATACCACCAGCGCCACCACTACGGATTAAACACTGGGGAACCCTTCTAAAAACAGGTCAGATGGTATTCATAACCAGTACTCCTTTACTTCTTGATTTTTTTATTTCTTCTTGGGCCGAGTCTTCTTGCACACACCCACGCACAGTCACAAACACAGTCATATATGTATTCATCTGTGCATATGCAATTCAATTCTTGGAATACCATATGGTCTTCTGACGGATGGGTATGATGATTTGTTTTGATTTATATTCAAGGCCTGACTTTTGCTTAGCAAAAAGAAAAAAAAAAAAAAAGAAATCAGAATTTCATGTTAAAATTATCTGCGAATAAGGTGGGGTGTGTATTTATTCTGCCAATAATATAAATATTCCTTAAGAAAAATCTCATACCCTTTATTAATCTGTGGTATTTATGGTCCAAAATTGAATTTTTGACCTCTACAACAATCTATGTCAGCCTAAACATGTCAAGATCGTAGGCTTGCCGAATTGTGTGAGAATGTCATTCTCAAGCAGTTGTACCCTTCTGCTTTTTTTAGGTGAAATCTAGTCAGATAAGCATGCTTCAGTTTAATCGGTTTATGTTATTTCTTTGATCTGATGTGTGGAATGTTGGACAATTTTTTTTGCATTATTGCAACGGCAGTGGTATATTTTAAGTTAAAATCACATGGTAGTTCTTTTGTTTTGAAGTTACAGGTCATAAATAAACCAGGGTTTGTGTTCAGATTGTTGTATCCCCCCACCCCCCTTCTTTTTTGTATTAAAGTTGTTCTAATTTGGGTGATCCTCTGTCGTTTGGCAGAGGGATTGAATTGGTGGAAGTTGAAAAGAGGTTTGTGCTGTCCGGCATCAAGGCCCAAATATGGTTTCACCAGTTAGTTCTAGATTTCATGGTCAGAAACCAAAGCAGCGAAAGGTATCAGCAATCCGTGATTTTCCTGAGGCATTTCAGCAATTCACTATGCAAATTGCTTTGCCACCCAATGAAGGTTTGGCTTTTGCTTCTACTGTGAAAGACTTATTGGACATAGAGGTTAGTGAAGTTGATCTGGATGACGATGATGACTCTGTCGAACCTTTTGACCTAGTCCCCAGTGAAACACACATCCTAACCTCTAAATTAGAATCTGAGAAGGTGGAGCCTATTGTCTCTTTTGATTGTGCGGTGGTGGAAAAAGCTTTGGATGGTGCAGAAATCATTGAACAATTAGAAATATTAAGACATGAATGTACTGATTCTACTTACTCAATCTTGAGCAGAGGTAAGTCGAAACTGAAAGATGGAAGTCATACTCAGCAGGTGTATAGGCCAAGTTGTTTGAAAAAGAAAGTGCATAAAGTTTACCGAAAAGTGTCTGCGGTCCGTGATTTTCCTCAGACAATGGAGCAATTTGACACAAAAACCAATGGGCCAGTGAATGAACCTTTGGTTGCTGTTGGTATATTTGAGAATTTAGCAGGTAAGGCAGACAGTGCTGGTGTATTACAGGAAAACTTAGTGCATAGAGAAATGCCTGGCTTATCATTTGCTTTGAAATCTGAGAAGTTGGAGCCAATGTTTGCTGATGATCTGGAGGAAGCTCTTCAATTGGGGGAAGAGTTGCCGGATGCTATGGATGATGCTGAATTTATAAACCCATTTGAAACTTCAGAGCATGAAACCAATGATTGTATTGGCTCAGTGAGGTGCACAAGCATGTTCAGACTACAAAAAGTGTCAGAAGATAAAGATCACACTCAGCCAGTGGATTGGCCAGGTAGGTTCAAAATGGGGTCTTATACTTCACCCAAAAAGAAGTTTCCACAAAGAAGAGTTTCAGCTGTTCGATGCTTCCCTCCAAAATGCGGAAGAAATTCTACTCTTCATGGTAAAGAAGATTGTGTGCAAATGCTAGCTTCTCATAAGAATAGGGGTTTAGGTCACAAGGACTCTTCTATGGAACAGGAGCCGTTTGAGGGGGTTGTACAGAGCGATGCTAAACAAGCAACAGAGGAAGCTCAACCTGAATATTCAAAATTGAAGGAACCAGTTCCAACGGCAGTAGAGACCTATATCAGTCTGAGTCTAAAGGTGATGCTACTTATGCAACAGAAAATGAGTTTCACCTTGCAAATTTGGTAAAAATTAAGTTAAAAAGAGTTGACGAAAAGGAAAAGGGCATCAACTGCAATTTGTATGAACCAGATATTAAGTTGCAAACACATTTCAGCACAAATAGTGCAAATGTTGGAGGTTCAGAGGAAAAGCTGAAGAAAGAATTCAAAAACAGNGAGTTGACGAAAAGGAAAAGGGCAGCAACTGCAATTTGTATGAACCAGATATTAAGTTGCAAACACTTTTCAGCACTAATAGTGCAAATGTTGGAGGTTCAGAGGAAAAGCTGAAGAAAGAATTCAAAAACAGCATGAACAGGAAGTTACCCATGGTATCTGCTAGTGCAGAACAACCAGTGCACAGGGTTACTGTGCAAGCTTTGATGGCTGCACCATTTTGTCCATGGAGACAGAGCAAAAGGGCCCATAAATCTTACACGACTCGTGATACAAGGGAAGCCAAACAAGGGAGGCATTAAATTGTGGGGCAAGACAATTATGATCTATTTGCAGAGAAAAAGTTTCGAAAACTTCCAAATGGGAGAAAGAACAATTATTCACCCAGGTTAGGAAATTTCTTAGTTCTGCCAATGATATCTGGCAAACGAAACATGCTTCTCATTTTCTTTGCTGTGAACACCAGTTGCTAAATCATCTTGCAGTTATTTTCTGTATAATCTAATAACATGAGGAGAAAGTTTACCTGCAAAATTTGCCTTGTATGCCACAGCTTTCTCTAGATATGCACCATTGAAAGTTGAACCACTGAAATTAGATTCTCTCATATCGGCAGCTGTGAAATTTGCTCTTCTGTATCAGCCATATAGATTGCTTATGAACACATGATTCCTCTGAAAATCATTGCTTTTACCTAATACTCGTCAGTCCAGAGGACAGACCATGGCACTTGGTGAAAACTAATGTAGATCAACTGAGAAGAAACTAAAATTCCTAGTATGCAATGCTCCATATGGTTATGTAGTCAACATGCCAGCAAATGATGTGAAAATTCCATAGCTCCACATGGTTCTCAATAGAGCTAAACATCTTTTAGTTTTTAGATGTTTTACTTTTTAAGGAATCAAAGCAGTCGAATCAGTAATATTGCAAAGCTTCTTGTGGTAGATAAGGGGGAAAGGCTACGGTATCGAAAATTTTAAGTTTTTAGGGTTAAGTTATAACTTTTTGCTGCGTAACTTNTCAAAGCAGTCGAATCAGTAATATTGCAAAGCTTCTTGTGGTAGATAAGGGGGAAAGGCTATGGTATCGAAAATTTTAAGTTTTTAGGGTTAAGTTATAACTTTTTGCTGCGTAACTTACAATTCTAAAAGACATGATTGACCATGAAAGATTGAAATCAATACCGAGAGCTCATGATCAATCATACGTGTCTGTGATCAATCATGTCCTTGAGCAGTTATAATTTCTCTATTTAAAGTTGTAACTCTACCATATGATAGCCGATGGTACCAGTACCGGTAAGCTACACTATGTAAATGGAATCGTGCACAAACATGAAGAATTACCTGAAATTTTCATTCACATGGACTGCTTTCCTGCATGAGGTTAAACATAGAATTCATTCAACTGTCTCAAAACCACAAGATAATTAGAAGAATAAAAAGTCATCTTTAGGAAAACGGACTTTAAATCTGCAGAACCGAATTGGGCTGCTGATCCAATCCCGAATTCACCTCGAGTTTCCGCTTCATACTTATTCAGATCAGCCATGGCAGACATGTCACAGCTAAATGTAATTACAGCTGTTGCTAATGCTGTTGAAACCACTGCTTTCCAATTCTTGTGTTCTGCATTGAATTAGTGTTGTACTTAAAGGTAGGATTCTATTTCTTGTTAACTGATAAGAGCAACTGTGCCAAAAGATATGAAGGCTCACCTTTTATATGGTTTTCATTTTGTGTATCCACCCGACAGAATACGGCTAAGGGCCTCGAGAGGAATTTGGGAGGATTGAGAAATCTGCATGGAGAAGATGATGAAGAAGCAATAGTTTTTATGGGTAAGAGAGAGATTGAAGATAGAGCCATTCCCAGGGACTTATTGTTACAGAGACTAATAGAGTATGGTGGAAGGAGAGATTGGTAGGAATAGAGAAAAGGATAAAGGAGGGGGACTGCGTCTCACGTGCAACTGTTCTCCTCTCTTCTTCCAACCACATCTTTTCGAGGCAGTGGATTGGTTGAGATGAGCGAAACGGTATGAATACTGTTTGGGTTTTAATATGCCACTTTACTTTAACCCGACTTTTAATATTTGGGCTGCGAATCGGATTTCCGCTGATTTACCACTTAATTTTTTTAATATTTATAAAGTCGTGGATTTTGGATCAATTTGGAGTGCAATTAATATGATTTATTTATTAATATTCTCAAATCTCCTATTTGTTNCCTGGATTTTGGAGTGCAATTAATATGATTTATTTATTAATATTCTCAAATCTCCTATTTGTTGGCCATTATAGGAAATCAGTTTAATTAATTTCCTTAAAAATTGGATTCAAGAAATTAGAATATTTTATTTTTGTTTTGAAGGGATAAAATGGGCCTGAGCCTACCTCTTTTTCATCCCATTTGATCCGCTCTCTTCTTTAAGTGGGCCAGTTTTCAGATTTAGGAACTCAGAGTCATGGCAGGTTAAAGAGATGACCAATGGGCCATAGCTNTAATTCTTGTTTTGAAGGGATAAAATGGGCCTGAGCCTACCTCTTTTTCATCCCATTTGATCCGCTCTCTCCTTTAAGTGGGCCAGTTTTCAGATTTAGGAACTCAGAGTCATGGCAGGTTAAAGAGATGACCAATGGGCCATAGCTTTTTACGCACTTTTGGTGGGAAATGACCTAGGCCCATTCAATTAATTTAGGGCTATTTTCTTGTAGGAAAATTTTAATTTAGACTTTGTCGGTGAAGGATGGAAATCAACACACATTTTGAACACTATGGGTGTTTTTAGGTCAAATTTGAAAACTATGGTTGAAAGTCCTTTTGTTGCTCTCTCTCTCTCTCTCTCTCTCTCACACACACACACACACAATTGCTTTTGTTTTCATACACTTATCAATGAATTAGCTATACCTTCCAAAAAAAGTATTAGAGCTCTTTTTCTTTGTTGGCTGAGTTTAACACAAATAAAAGTATTAATCAAACCAAGCTAGTCAAGCTCGTTTTNTGTTAATCAAACCAAGCTAGTCGAGCTCGTTTTTTTTAAATAAGTTTAAAAACTCGTTCAAATTTAACTTATTTAGAAAATAAGCNTATTAATCAAACCAAGCTAGTCAAGCTCGTTTTTTTTTAAATAAGTTTAAAAACTCGTTCAAATTTAACTTATTTAGAAAATAAGCAAAGTCCGAACCCAAACCGAACATAAGTAGTTCGTCTCAATTAACACTCCTAAATACAACCAATAAAAAAATATCATGTTATTAGGATTGTACAACTTTTGATTGAGTGTGTACACCACCTAATTAACAATCTCAAATGCACCCAAAAAATTCTCCGAAAAAAAAAGTGAGCATAATGGGCTACTTGCTTATTAATTGATTTGCCTTTTTATTCTTTGGAGTTTCTTCTGTGTGTTCNTTAGTGTGTACACCACCTAATTAACAATCTCAAATGCACACAAAAAATTCTCCGAAAAAAAAGTGAGCATAATGGGGTACTTGCTTATTAATTGATTTGCCTTTTTATTCTTTGGAGTTTCTTCTGTGTGTTCCTTTATCTACTAGCACCACCCCCAGAAGTATTGGTAGCATACTGATAAACGCTAAGAATATCTCAACTGGATTTCTAACAATACATGACCAAAATTATTATATGATGCCACTACAAACAATAACATAGTAACATTTTGTGAAACTCAGAGATGTCATAAGACCAATTAATCATACACTGCGTAGGAAATGGACAGAGGGATGATTATGTCAAATGGTCTTTAACAACTATCAGCACTGCAAGGGAGCATGTTAGAAGTTAGAACCGCCGCTTCTGTTGTTCATTGGAAGAAGCTGGTATGGTATAGTCAACTCATTCCTAGAATGAGTTGCATCCTCTGGTTGGCCATCAGGTTGAAGTTGAGCACCAAGGACAGAATGAAAAACTTTGCAACTCACTTAGGAACACAATGTATTCTTTACAGAGCAGCAGAGGAATCCCATTACCATCTCTTCTTCGAGTGTAATTACTCAAGTAGAGTCTGGAAACATGTACTTGAAATGAGTCAACAACATTGGCAACCTGGACCATGGAGTGAGTTTATTCATTGGGCAGCTTCACAATGGAAAGGAAAGACATTGGCAAGAGTTATAATGAAGTTAAGCTAATCTGCTACAGTATATATGATATGGAGAGAAAGGAACAGTAGTGTTCAAGAATAGTTTTTGTTATAGCTCAACACTGTCATCAATCATCAAGCATACAGTTAGAGTCAAACTAAGCTCCCTCAGGTTCAAGGGTACTCCCCAGAATCACCATATGGTCCTCATTTGGTCCCTACCTACTAGCTGCATTGCTGGACAGTTGCAATACTAGGCTTTGTGTAATACCCATGGTAAAAAAAAATGAAATAATAATAATAATAATAATAAAACTGAATAAGTTAGATTTGATAAGTTTTAGATTTTTGTTTGGTTTGGGATCTGTCTTTATGGGCTTATAAATATGATTTGGAAATCAATTCAAATAATTTAGTCTTTTTTTGGTGTAGGAAAAAATGTCAGATAATTATAGATATTTAGTCGAATAGAGTTTTAGAATTGTAGAATTGGTTGTACATTAATTCCTTATTGCTAAAAGGACTTTAGTGTTATTAAGAATAGTTAATTGCCCTAAGTTGCCTCATATTTTATTAATATTGTTTGGCTTGAAAAGAATACAATAGGGGACAGCAGAGAGAGAGTGAGAGAGAAGGAACGAAAAAAAAAAAAGAAGGGATTGGATCCATTGAAAGTATGAATTCATTCATTATTTTATGATATTTTCATTCTATTTAATTACATGGTATTAGGTTTCTTATAATTAGTGATAAGGAATATATATTGATGAATATGTAAATGAGTTTTAATGAAAGTTGTTAATTTAGATGTTTTAGACATAATTTAGACTCGTTGATGTTGAGGCTCGTAAATAATTTAATCAAATGTTGAAAACAAGAAGAAAAACAAAGAAAGTTGCATAACCAAGAAAGCTGCATAACCAACTTTTGTAGGTCGAACGAGGTGGGATTTTGAAAATTATGAAAATCGCTCTTTTAGTTTTAAATAACTTTACTTTGATCCCTATATTTTTTTAAACTTAATTTTAACTACTGTTTTATCTGATAAGTTGGAAGAGTAGAATTTTTAAAAATTTATGGTAGTCCAGAAGTTTCAAAAAAATTATACTTTGATCCCAAAAATTTTAAAAATTATAATTTGACTCAAAACTTTAAAAAAAAAATTTAAATCGCCCAGAATACTTCTATACCCTATTACCTCGTATTAGAAAGGATATTTTTATGTAAATGATTAAGTATATATCAATAAGTAAGAAGTACGTAAAATAAATATAGAATCGCGGAATGACGAAATTAGGAATATGAGTTGATCGCTATATGTTATTTTGGATTAAATGGTGATTGCATTAAGGTTGAGAAAGAAGGCTTTGAATTGGATTTTGAGAATCAATGTGAGTACTTTACTACTTCTTTTGGCAGGATTTTCTACATTAAATATGTGAGTGTGTGTGTGTAAATTTTTCATATATATGATATATGTGTTGATATT